AAAATTGGTTCGTATGTAACATTGTAGAAAAAAATAAAGTGTTAATTCGATTTGTTATTTTGAAAAGTATCGAGTTAATGGTGGGGTGCTTTTTTATTGTGGTACATGTTTTTGTGTTTCCGCGACGCTTCTTCTTCTTCTCATGATGTTCCTTACCAACATATATTTCTCGTGCTTATCTAACTATTGCTTTGATTTCATCAATCCACTACTTTTAACTTGAAAAGAATTAAAATTTAAATTTATGTCAAAGCTTGATAAATCATTGCCAATATAAAATGATTTTTAGTATTTTATATGATTTGAAATGCGTAAGACATAATTCAAAATATATATTACGAATATATTTGGCAGATCTTGCAATTCAAATTACACCGCTTTACAGTATTGTTACATTTATTTGACAATTTGTGAGTGGAAGAAAACTTAAAAATTAACGAAGAATAAGAAAGAGTTTTCTTCCTCAATTAATACCTTTTGACAAACTATTTTGAGATAGTTCTCTTTCATATGGGCATGAAGAGATAAAAATGTTGATCCGATGAGATGGCATTCACCGTAATTGAATTTCAAAAATATTTTTCACATGAGAACATGTTTTTAATGGCTCAAACATCAGTGCACAAATTAAACTAAAAATATAATATTAACTAAATCCTTTTATGCTTTTAAAAATATATATAAAAAAATAACAGAGGAAAGCATATGAAACAAAATAGATCGATTAATAGATGTACTTTTTGAAGAAAAGAACCCCCCCTCATCACACAAACCAAAAGAACCTTCCTTGAAAACACCTTAAAAAAAATCACAATTGATCAGATATAGAATATCATGCATATGAACAAAAACAACAAACGAACTAACGAATAAAAAGCCAAAAAAAAATAGTTATCCTTAGCTTATTTGTGGTATTACGAGGGCCGTTTCAATTTTTTGTAAGGTCCTAGGCAAACTAAAAAATTTTTAGACCCTTTGCAAGAGAAATTAAAAAAAAAATTGGACCCTTTTTTCTTAAAGAATTTAAAATTTTTTCACATGGACCCTGTGCGATAGAACCACTTGTCACCCCTCTTAGACGGCCCTGGGTATTACAACATTTATTGTTTGTCTTCATAGAAATTTGAAGATCCCTTTGCATGAACTATGTAACAAAATCGAAGTAATAATTTACCAAGGATACGTTTGATTTGCAACTAACAACAATCATGTAGGTGATTCATTATGTTACTTTTTCCTTAAGAGCAAGTTTAAACGGAATACTAACTTGCTTGTACTAACCTTAAAGAAAACTTAAAACTGTGAAATTAAAGCATGTAGAGGGACAATGCCAAATCTTAGTGTATGTTTAGGAAAAGAGGGATAAAGAAAAGGATTTAGGGAAATGGATCGAATATAAGAAACTCAAGAGATCTAACAGTCTATTTGATTAATGTGATTGGTTTGTAACAAATTGAAGTGAGGTTATGTGATTAGTGTATATTTTAACAAAAAGTATTATACACAAGCAACTTTCATGCCATGTATTTTTTTTTGTAAGGTTGATTCTAGTATTCTAGACCAGACCCACAAGTTTTTCATCAAAATTCAATCCATTGTTTTGAAACCTTAAAAACTGAATATAATGTAAATTCAATCAAGTATAATTTACATAATATTGTAGTTTCTATTTTATTTTTAAATGCACCCATTGCATATCGCCCAACGCGAAAGTTACGATTTATAATAAACGATTTAAGAATATATTGTTGTAAAACCAATTACAATTACTTTTTATTGCAAATTAAAAGGAGCTAAACCCTATGAGGGGAGCCTTAACCCTCACAAACTGAATAAAACTATGGTTCGATTCTTAAAAGGAGCTAAACCCTATGAGGGGAGCCTTAACCCTCACAGACTGAATAAATCTATGAATCGATTCTTTAGAGGAGCTAGACCCTAAGATGAGGGAGCCTTAACCCAAACACAACGAATAAAACGACAATTCGATTCAGTTTGACTATTAATTTTTTTTTGGCTCATATATATATTGTTGCAAACAAAACAAAAATTTAATTTTGAATTGNCTTTTAGTGAAATTACTACAACAATCCTNGTTTGGTTACTAAAATAATAAAATAAAATGTTATTATCGAATACTTGTTTTATATTAATGAATTTTTTTGAATGTATATATACCATTTATTTTTTTAGCAAATTAAAAAG